TTTCCTATTTGGGGGGACATTCACCTGTGATCTACTGAGAGCCAGGTGTTTCCAAGGTTTTTCTAGTTGGAAGGGGATTAGAAAAAATGACTGGTAGCAGCTTAAATGCCTTCCTCTTCCAGTGACATTTGTATTTTAGTTAGAGACCCACAGACCTAGAATTTCAGAGATTGGTGAGATTAAGCTCAAGATCCACATTTTGTAGATGGAGACACATGGACTCTGAAAGGGCAAGTCCCCATGGTAAACTCTGTAAAACAGAAAAAGTCTTTGAGACCAAAGCACTCAATCTCCCAACAGTGTATTTTAAGCCCTGGAAAACCAAGAGGGGTGTGTGTGTGTGCGTGCGTGCGCGCGCGCGTGTGCACGCACACATGCGTGAGCCTGGGTATGTTTTATTTTGTGTGAATGGTGAGGAAGGGGGAAAGTATATGGGGTCTTCCCAAGACGTCAAGTAGAAATTAAAGCTGAAATAAGCCCTTAAATTCAAGTCAAATCTTCAGATTTTACAAATGAAACAGAGACCCTTATTGGTGAAGTGACAACCAAAAATTGCATAGCTATTTAGTTTCAGAATTAGCTAAAACTTGAACTAGACTTAGGTCTCATTTTCCAATTCAGTGCTTCTTATACCGTACCATCTACTTTTACTACCAACTCACAAATATTGTTCCTAAGACACATAGTAGGGCACATCTTTGGTTTGAATTGTCACTTTGAAGATTCAATACTTACATAATCAGTCTCCCTGTACCCTCCAAACCCATTCCCATGATTATCAATTTTTGGCATCCCTCCTTAGTAGCATGTTCAGACATAAATACAGAAGCAAGTGATCCCTACCTGGGGGGCTGAACCTAGTTTATATAAAGTGACCATTTTCATAGATTAAATCCTGTAGCAATCCCTTCCCTTCTTTTTTGTTATCAGTGTTGCAACCACTCTGCTGTGTTTTGTTTTGTTTTTCTGTAGCTTTCTTAAGGCATAATTGACATACAAGGAGCTTCTCACATTTAAAGTATAAAAGTTGATGAGTTTTGACATATGTATACACACATGAAATCACTAGAATTAAGATAGTAAACATATCCACCATCCACAAAATGTTCCTCATACCCTGTTATAATATAGCTCTCCCTTCCACCACTCTCTCCCTTGTTGGCCCGTCCTTCCCTTCTTGACTTGGCTTGGCAGTATCAAAATGTTCCAACCAAGAAAAGCAGCCAGAGTCTCTGTATCTGAGCCAAGAGTGGAAAACTTTCCTTGGACCTTGCTTCCTTCCTCCTCCTCCTCCTCAAAAAAAAAGCCAGATCCTCCCAAAGAACTTTCTTTGCAGCTCCACACAAACAACTCTCAGATAAGATCAAGGGCCTTAAGAAAGGTACTGGAAGATTGAACCACTTGAATCAGTTGCAAGGAGGATTCTAAAGTCTGCAAATTGCTTGAGTTAAACGAAAGAAATATTTGGGGTAAAAACATTTTCTTAAGGAAACATTTTTTTTTTCATATTATAAAACATTATAAATTTGAAAAGTAATGAAAAGAAAAAAATCCTCTGTAATCCCACTACTCTAAATAAACACTGTTAGCCATTTGGTATGATTTCATTCCTGCCTCTGCCTCAACCAGAAAAAAAAAATTCTTCATTAAAATCTACTTTGAATGCACCTTCTGAGCTTTGGTGTTTTAGTCTTCTTTTTCTGCCTATCTTCAGCATACACTACCATAATCTAGCCATAAAAGTATTGGGGTGTATTTTTTCTCAGGTCTCAGAAAGAATAAACATGTTTTCTTAGAAGAAGTGGCTGCAATGTGCTCCATTTTTGGGAGGGTTCTTTTTACAGATTCCAGAGATTCAGAATCTATAAAAACAGGAAAATAACTCTTCTCCATGTAACAAAAGTTTACAGCAGAAAAAGCAACTCTTGTGAAAATCCAACTGCTATAGTTGAAGGTCTACCTTTTATGGGGATGGGTGTTGGGAATGAGAAAACTGTTTTGAATATATGCAGACAAGTAACAACCCTACCCACTTCTGCCACCTTCCGGTCCCATTTCAATGCTGATTTTCTATGTTCAGCTCTTCAGATGGCCTGCCAGCCAATTAGCATTCTATGTAGTTCACCCAAAATTTATTAGAAGCAGTGAGGTAGAGTAGAATATGTGTTGTCTGGGGAGTCAAGAAACCCTAGAACAGTGCCTGGCACAGAGTAGGCACTCAGTAAATATTCATTGATTCAATGCACTTGAGTGTTCTTCCTAGATTTTCCCTTTGACTTACTGGAAAGGCAGTAACTTTTTAAAGAGATAGGGAATTTAAATCGATCTGTTCTTATCACCACCACCCTCCGCAATATAGAGACCTGGGCTAAGAGAAGTTAATTGGTTTACCAAAGATACTCGAACCCTTCTAGTCTCTAGTTTCTTAAACTACAAAATGGGATAGCAATTCTTATATATCTCATAAGGGTACTGGGCCAAATAAAATGACAGGTATAAAAGTGCACTGAAAAATATAAAATATCACACACATGTAAGGCATTATTAAGATTATTAATTTCCTTCAGAAGTGGTTTGTAGTACCACCTCACCCCAGTTAGACTGGCTATAATAAAAAAGATGGTGAACAACAAATGCTGGTGAGGATGTGGAGAGAAGGGAACACTCCTGCACTGTTGGTGGAACTGTAAATTGGTACAACCACTATGGAAAACAGTATGGAGATTTCTTAAACAACCACAGATAGATCTTCCATATGATCCAGCAATCCCACTTCTGGGTATATCCCCAGAGGAATGGAAATCATCATGTCAAAGGCATACCTGCACTCCTGCACTTTATCATAGCTCTGTTTACAATAGCCAAGACATGGAACCAACTTAAATGTCCATCGATGAATGATTGGATAAGGAAAATGTGGTATATATACACCATGAAATACTACTCTGACATAAAAAAGAATGAAATACTCCCATTAGCAACAGCATGGATGAGCCTGGAGAAACTTATGCTGAGTGAAATAAAGCACAGAGGGATAAATACTGCATGTACTCACTCATATGTGGGAGCTAAGAGAGAAAGAAGGAAGGAAAGAAAGACCACAGTGGTGTGTTGGATTTGCAGAGGGAGAGAACATACTTTGGGATACAAAGTAGGGGGTAAGGAGAGGGGAAGGGAGGTTGGGGATAATTGGGTGGGGGACAAATGCAATTTGTGGTAATGGGCATGCTGCCAGTATGAATCTGGCCTTCACATCTTGGGCACAAGTGGTGACAATCAGCTCTGTATCTCATGAATATTCATAACCCCCAAAAGTCATGTGACAGTTTGGTGCCCTCTGGGGGGAAAAAAAAAGATTATTAGTAGAAACCTCAAATTCACTGACTGGGAAGGTAAGGCGGCTGAAAAACAAAGGGTTAAGGTTGCATTCCCAGGTGATAATTACCTATTGATTGGTGTTTAGGGAGCTGTGTGCAATTGCAATGGTATATTCAGATACCAAATCAATAGAGAGGGGTGGGGTGGACCTGTCGTTAGAGACCAAGGAGGACGTTTTGAAGATCCCTTTGTAGTTAGGGATTCTCATCAATATCCACAATGTTTTGCTATGTGTCTTTGGAAAGTTACCTGATTGCTCACACTTCAGTTTCCTTACCAGTAAAATGGGGCAATTGATACCTTCCTCATAAATGTGTTGTGAAGAATACAATTCCAAGAGGTCATAGCAAAGATAGAAGGATTTTTCCCTTAAATCTTTTCAGGACTAAATGATGTATCCTTAGGAGCAGTCATAGAAAGTCAACTCTCTTTCTGAAATTTTCATAAAAAGAGGGAGGATAAATTTCTTACTCCAACTCAAAGTCAGGTAGTTGTGCTCAAAATTCTAATTTTCTTAAGAACTATGAAGATAAATCTTGAAAAATAGAGGAAAGTTGTGCTCTAATTTCTTTTTTACATTAATCAACCTTTCCTTTAAAACATCTCAATTCTAAAATACTTAGAATCTAGCCTTTGACCACTTTGATATGCAAACAGTGTATGAACCAACACCAAAAACTCCAGGAAACTCTGTTCACTGTAGCCCCTTTACTTAGCTAAGTTGTATGTTGGTGATCTGTAAACTGCAGCTCCTTGGGTTACACTGCATTGACATCATGTGACATGGGTAAAACTGAACAGGTTGAAAGGTGATAGCAGGGAGGGGCTATAGACCATTTCACACCATCCTTGTGGAAGTCTGATTGGTACTCAAGTGTGACAGTAATGGGAGTGGAAAGACAGAAGGGTGGGAGAGCTTATTTGCTGATGATTCAATCAAGCTGACCTACATTGTTCTAGTTTGATTTCATTGTTTTGACAAGGTTTGAAGTTGGCACTGCAAGTTGGAACTTCTGAAATGAGATAATTGATGTCAAACAAGTATGATCAAGAGACAAAATGGCCTTTTTTATTTGTTATTTTTATTAACCAGTGGCAACGAATTCAGAATCATCTCCTGATGATTTTTTAAACATTTACCTTGTTATGAAAATTCTGTTAGCTTTTGAATTAAGCACTTGAAAAGGTAGCTAGAGATAGATAAATTTCTGCTTACCTTCTTCCCACCCCCTAGAAAGGACCACTAAAAAACCCCTCACCAAATAACAAACACAAGTACACATACACAAACGAGCCTCTTGGCAGAACTGTCCTTTATAGTCTGTTCATACAAGCAAGTTTGTGAAATTGTGGACAGAGTTCCCAGGACCTGTCATTCTAGCTTTTAATTATGTAGCTTAACAATAAGCTTCTCCGGTGACTGACATATAGCATGGCACATAACAGGAGTTTTCTGGGGATAGTTTCTAAAAGTAAGAGTCCTCTGAATTACCTTCAAACCATTGTGTGTGTTCACTAGTTCTTAATACTACCTTACATGGAATTACACCCTGCCCCAACTCCCTTGCTCATACCTTAGAACTAAAGGAAGGGCACTTTGCATTTCTCTTTGACTTTTTTTTTCATTCAGAGACTATGACCTGCTGTATCTCAATAGGCTGAAATTCATGGACAGCAGATGGGGTGGTGAAAAAAGCGTTAGGCAGTTCCCCAGGGCTGATGGAGCCAGAGTCACTTTGTACAGAGCCTCCACTGTTCTCAAACTGGGAGATTTTCTTTTTGATCATCTTTCTCTCTTTGGCTCTGCGATTTTGAAACCAGATTTTCACCTGAAACACAAAATGTTTTGTATTTAATGGGACGCATACTGAATGCAGTTAACATAGTGACTGCTGATATTGTACAGGACCTTTAGCATTTACAAAGTCCTTTCATATGCATCACTTCATTTGATGCTCACAATGACCATGTGAAGTATACCCATTTAACAAGTTAAAAAAATTAGGCTGAGACTCGGAGAGGGCAAGTACCTTGCATGAAATGAAACTGAGATCAAGTCCAGGGCTACTGACTCTGAATGCTGTGCTCTTTATATTACACCTCATCCACCTCTTTTGTTGCACAGGTAGAAATAAATAATGATAGAATGACAGATGCTGATGAGTGCTGCTAAGAGGGAAGGATTTAAATAGCAAAAGTGATTGCAATTCGTCATTAAGAGAAACTTCCTAATAGTAAAAGGTTAATAAAACAGAACTGGGTGAACAAGAGTGATGAAATACTTTATATCTCTTGCTGGAGATAAAGACCAGAGTGATACAATGTGCCTTCACACATGGTTGAAATGCAAGCTGCTTGGAATAAGGCAATACATTAATGAAATTTACAATTCCAGAATTCTATGATTCCAGGATTACTTCTAGACTTAAGTGAAAAAAACATTAGGTAGTTATATAATTTCAAAGTCTGAGTGAATGAAAACTGTTGATCCTTGCCATAATTTAATCTTCATTGAGTACCCATAGTAAGCTAAATTTGAGGCAGGCATCATAGAATTATGTAGAAAATTAAGTTTCCTACTGTATATAGCAGAAAAACTTGGTTCAGGTAGGAGAATTGATGTTCAGTTACTGTTATAGTTTGACTGATAAGAATCAGATAATTGCCACGGTTGCAAATTTCCACCTCACCCATTGGTTGTGACTACCTGGGGAACCAGATCAAGGTTTTGATCTGATTGATGAATTCTATGGGAGTTATAATCCCTTCCCACTTCTTATGCTCCAATCTTTTGCTTCCATACCTCCATGGTGCCCACCACATTCAATTGTTAATAAACCCACAGACCAATGAGACTAAGCTGGGAGGTCCTGTAGGATGGATATGAGTTTTAGGAGAGCTTGGAGAATATCTTGGTCCTCTGTTTTTCTTCCATTCCTGCTTACAGACCTCTGTAAAAACTCAGCCTATTGAAATGACTATATGAGACATGTTGGTTGTACTTCTGGCGTACCTGTCTCTCAGAAAGGCCCAGGTTAACTGCCAGCTCTGATTTTCTTCGGATGGTGATATATCTATTACAGTGAAATTCCTTTTCCAGCTCCAACCTTTGATGATCTGTGTAAACGACACGATACTTTTCTTTTGTCCTGGTTTTCCCTGTTAGAGGAGAAAGCATTGTGTTTACTTTTATTCTGCTTCTTTGGAGATTGTTTTGGTTGAAGAACTCATAGCCACTCTTCCCTACCTCATCTATTATTTAAAGTATAAAAAAAGTATAAAAGGTATATTTTTGAATCAAAGATGTCATAAGTCCATTTCTCCATTAAATACATTCTTATCTGTGGCTGAAATATCTATACCCATATCTATATCCATATCCATATCTATCTATCTAATCTAAATAGATATATAGGCATATATCTCTATCTACATCTCTATGTATAAAACCAACATCCCTCTAATTAATGTTTCTTTTAAAATGATCAATCAAATCACAATCACTCCACCATTGACTTACTGTTACACCAAAGCATTTAAAATGTTTAAATACTTAACTCATGATTTTCCTTCCCTTCCCACTCACATATGGGAATAGCATTGGCAGTAGTAGCAACATCCATTTTACTTACACATCCCATTAAATTTTATGCTGTCCTTTCATACTGTTTTTTTTATTAAGCCTCTTACCTACCCTCTCTAGTTATGCAGAACATGTCTTATCCCCATTTGACAGATGAGGAACTTTAGGCTCAGTACAGGTAAGTAAATGACTTTGTGCTAGTGAGCTGAAGAGTAGGGACCCAAACCCATACCTTTGACTCCCAGTTCAGTATGCTAAATATTATCCCCAGTTTGAACATGCCGGGAAGCATAAGAATGACCCAAGTGTGGCAAACTGTTTTGGGATTTTGACATTATACTTATATATAATTGCGAGACAAAATTTGGTTTGGATACTAATTTAAAAGGAAACATTTATTGTCACTTAGCAGATTCTGTTTCAGAATAGCACTTATTACCTATTAGGAAAAAAAACAGGTTTTTGGAGGGGGAGTCTTAAACCAATTGTTTTATTCCCAACTGAATAGAGAATGAGGGAAGGAGGGGAGTGTTGACTTAAAGAGAATAAAGTGAATATTCCATGCCCTTTGAAAGGATATCCAAACATTTGCTTTGTGTTACAACATTTAACTAATTTCTTATGCCTTCCTTCAAATAGAGTTTTATTCCTCCTTTCAAATTTTCCAAAGGTGATTAGGAAGTTTCCCTTTCTTTTCAATTTCTTTAGCCCCCTCCAGCGTCTTCCTTTTTTTTCACTATAGCTTTTAGAAACTCCTTCTGATCTTTTTTGGTTGTTTTTGATGTAAAGTTTTGGGGGGCAATTCGTAGGACAAAGACTTATTTAGAGTGGTTCCCTAAACTCCATTGAGGTGTTAAGATGCAGCATAGGCCTAACAAAGGAGCTACATAGCATCAGATCTCATCCTGAACCCTCTTTACATTCAGGAACACCAGCCAATTGGTTTGGAATTTACAAGCCCTAAACAAATGTCAGACACCCTTTCATCTCCAGGAAAGGAAAAAAAAAAAAAAGGACATGAATGTAGAAACAAATTCGAGATGAGAGATATATTTTAGGATTAAACTAAATGGCTGAATAACTCATGGACTAATGAACTGAACAAAATCCAACCCCCGCAAAAAGGAAAATAATGAACTCCAGTCAGTTCACCTACCTAAAAGGCCCAAATTTTGAGCTGGTTTTCTAAATCTAAACAGAAACCCAGAAAACCACACGTCTGGCTTTTTATATGTTGCAAAGAGAGAATGTATATTTGGGGACAAAATGAAACCCTGAGATTTAATTTATTTCCAGAACCTCAAATCTTGGGATCAAAATGTATCTTTGAAGGGACGTTTCCTAAAACCCTTCCTAATCCCAAAGTGGCTGAGTGTTTAAATTCTAACTTGAGGCAGATAAGTTAAAATTCAACTTGTGTGTGTCTGTGTTTTTCTGCTCTTTGATAATCAGTAAATATAACCAGACTTCAAGAACTCTGGAAAGGTTGTGTTCCTTCCCTACCCCCATTGGTCATAAATTCCCTTCTTGCAGTTTCTTCTGAGGACAATAAAGTCAAGACCAGGCCTCTTTATTTGCCATGAAAATCCTCACCCTTTCCGGCAATATAACTCCCGAAGAAAGGAGGGATGGGGAAGAGCCTGGCTGCATATCAAAGCCTTGAGAAGTGTTAAAAAAAAGTCTGTTGCCCCAATCTGGCAGATAAGACCTAAAACCCCACGAAGACATAGCTGAGGGGAAAATACTGATTACACAGTTTACAAAGAGAAATAAATTCTAATTTCCTGGTGTTCTTCTATGCCCCCTCCCTGAACTGTCTCCCCTCCACCCCATTGCCTATTCCCATTAAATGACAAAACAAGATTGAAGGGGATTTGGACATTTTCTGGTAGATCATAATGTCCATGTTCCCGTACCCAAGCACCAACAAAACACTGAGTACATGCTTTTATTGTTCGAGCTATTTTCTTCCACAGACTATGACATTTCTGAGGGTGAGGGACTGGAAATCTTTTCTCAGAGGTTATTGTGAGTTGATTTAGGAAAGTAACAAAGTCTAAGATGTACTCAAGGACTACTTTCGTCTCTCTGTAGCGCAGATTTCATTGCCTCATCCCCAAAGACTCAGACAAACCTCCATAATTCAAGATGGATACAGTCCTTCCCATCACCCGGGGGACACTATCCCCACAGAGTTTGTAAGCAAATGTCATCATATATGATGACTTTTGTCACCTTAAATGAAATAAAAATGGTGCTCATTTGAGAGACTGGCTGTGAAATAGCTGTTAGGCAGAAAAGCACTCACCAAACTTAGGAGTTTGATGGTGGCAGTGGTGGTAAAGATGATGAAAACCAATATCTTTCTGTAGGGAGTACTGTGTAATTGACTCCACTGGAATGACTTTTCATCTTACAGTAATTCTTCACTACTTTTAGCTAAAAATTAAATCCAAATTCATTTTTAAAAGTCCAATGAAATGAGCAAAACCAAGGAAGACAGTAGCCTCAAGTATTATTAAGGAACTCACTTTATGAAGTGCCCTAATTGAATAATGCCTTTTAAGCATAACTTCCTCTTTGTCCAGTGGCATAATCAGAATCGATCCATGTTACTTCCTCCTCTCCCCGTTTTTCCCACTTCTAACAAGAAAACCTCTCTCCAGCTCTGCTTAGGTTACCACCTTACCAATAGTCATCCAGGGCCACAACTCTGGATAAAAGAAAAGAATAAAAAACATAATTCCTTGCTCTAATGCACTGACACTGTTTAAAATATGAAAATGCATAAAAATACTTAACTTTCTATAAAAACTTTTCTGTCAGATTCCTTTTAATATAATCTTTAAAATGAGATGTGTACTGGAATAGACCACTTAGGGAACTAAGTGGAAATAAAAATATCTTACTTTTAAATCAGATCACCCAGGGGACAGTCATATACTCCATGTGTCGGTCCCCTTGCTGTTATCAGAAAATCAAATGCTATACTGGTCACTATGAAATGTTTTCTGATTGCCCCCTAATATGTGTATTTTTTCTTTAACTTAGGTCTAATTAACACATTCTTCAGTAATGGAAAAAAACACTTTCATTTGAGTACTTAAATCACAGAAGGTGTTACTTTTATTTAGTAGTTCATGTATTTTCCTCTCAGCCATAAACCATATGTTGTTCAGTAATACTACGAAGTGAAGTAGAAAATTTAGGAGGAACTGACTCACTCATTCGTTTAACAAATATTTGTTTAACACCCACTATGTGCTAAGCATATAAATGGGTGAATTTTGGTCTGGAGTGGTCCAGTGAGGTGATCAGGTTAATTTGGCAGGGGTCGGGGGCGGGGAGGGAGGCCGGGCAGTAATAATCTGATGACCATATTTTTCATCATATTCTTAAGTTGTTGCTAAAGACGCACCTTGGGCTACAAGAATATAGCAAAGAAGTAGTTTTTAGTTGTAAGACATTCAAATGAAACAAAGTTTGAATTTAATAAAGCCTCATCTATAGGGTAGGCTGCCAAGAGTAAAAGGGGTTTCAACATCATTCAATTTTAAACTTCACATAGAAATTGGAGAGAAAATCTTGTAGAGGTGGCATTTTAAAGTCAGGTTTGAGGGTTTAGCTGATGATGGAGATGCAACAGAATAAGGAGGTCCCTTTTAAACTTCTGGCGCCAGAATTACCCAAGAGAGAGGCTCTGGCTCATAAAAGCAAATGCAAATAGAAGACTTTTAAGCAAAGAAACCTGTCATATTTTCTCTCATAAACGGAAAATTCATGGCTCAGAATAATTTCTTTTGTCTTGTCCTTTTTTTCATTGTTCTCTATTCCAAACAACATGCTAGTGACTTTCCCCTTCTAAAGTGTTTCAAAACATAATCTGTACTGGGAGCATCTACTTTTCTGGCTTTTGTGTCTTTTGCTGATTGTTAGGGCTTAGTGAATGGATGTTAATTACAACCTTGAGATTCGATGTAATAACATCTCTGGGAGTGTCCCACCCTAACTTCATTTTCTATCCTACTTAGCCAGTGACTCCCCTATATTGGAAAAATATGGGGGATTTACCCCCAAAAGCTTTAAAGCCAAGCATTAAGTTCTATTTAAATTTGGGATTGGCACCCTAGTAATGTTCTCATCTCCTTCTCCTGTCTGAAAGTCTTCCTAATGGTATAAATTAGTTGGTTCCTTGCCATCCTTCTGCCTTTGCTTTTTGGAGGGGAGAGAAAATGCAGAACTGTGAACAGGAGCATAATCATTGTGGACAAATGCTATTGAAATGTCATTTCCTCCCCAGAGGGATGAAAGTGATAGAGTTGAATTTACTAATTTTCTCTAATGACAGGGAGCAAGGATTGGAATAGTAAGAATGTGATAAAAGAACAACTACAGCTGAAAACAAACATCTCCCTCCTCTCCTCGTCCAAGATTAAGGCAGAGCGCCCATTTTCTCCGCCCCTGGCTCCCAACAGTCGCCCACTGGCTTGCTGGTCGGCCATTAGGCTAGGATCGTTGTGCCTTCCCGCGCGCTGTCACAGACTAGCATTCAGCCCCTACACCTCAGGGACGCCTGCCTGAAGTTATGAGGGCTTTAACCATTTAGCGCGGGGGCTGATACTCGTGCACACCCAACAGGTGTGAGAGTTGAGTAGCATATTTCGTGCCAGCTCAGTGCTGTAGCTTTCTCGCCTGCCTCTACGCTTCCATTGGGGGAAAGGACGTTGGAAGAAGGCAACGGGTTTGAGGCCAACTCGCCTCTGCCAACTTGAGCTAAGGAACCTGGAGCTTCCTTGAGAGGCCAGGGTGACGAGGCCGCTTTGCTGTCTGGGTCGTCGTGACTAAACTGGAGGGTCCGTTGCCAGCCAAGCACCTTGAACCAAACTTGAGCGTCATCAGCTTTTGTGGGGATCTGGCCGCCCGGATGGGAAAGGGTTTGTAAATGGAACGGGAAAGCAGCAGTGCCTGAACTTAGGTACACCACCGTTGTCCTCGCGCCTCATTCACCGGTTAAGCTTTCCCGTGCATCTGTGTGCCCATCTTGGCAACTACAGGGTTGAATTCTGATCCTTGTGCCTCAACATACCCATTGTTCACGCGCTCACCCCCTTGATTGATCAGGGAATGGCGAAAAACACCCCTAGTGTAGGTTTAGTCCCAAGCGCCCCAGTCAGCGGGCTTTGAGCACACGCGCGCGCGAGGGAGGTACTTAATCCACCAGCCAGCTACACAGGACTCTGCTCAGTTAAGCTCTCCCGGGACAGGCCTGAGGAGTAGGAGGACGTGCAAGCCAAAAAAGTAGAAGAGAAGCGAAGGAAGGAAAAGTGTGTAGGCACTGGAATCAATTACTCACCGGTCACCTGCACGGTCTTACGCATCCATGCATAGGGGCTGTGGCGGCTCCTGGTGGGAGAACTGGAGTCGGCGGTGCCCAAGTCAATGGGGACCAGTGACCCGCCGGCCGGGGCTGGCAAGCTGCCGCCGCTGCTGCCGCCGCCTGGGGGGTCCAGGTTGCTGTAGTCCTGCGAGCCGAAAGCGGTAAGGCTCGAGGTCATGTCGTTCATGGGCACTGTGCCCATTGTGCTGGACGGCCCGGGGTACGCGCTCCATTCTTCCTTGGGTGGACTATAGGGTGAGCCCCAGGCCCCCAGCGACGGCCCAGGAGGATCCATGCTGGGCAAATGGGGATACCCCATGTAGTGCGCATAAGTCGGGGCCGCAGCAAAGTTGGAGGCTGGCAGCGGACTCCCACTGGCGCCAGTGCCGCTCGCTCCGGCGGTGCCGCCCCCGCCAGAGCTCCTGAAAGTGCCCGGGTACATGCCCGCTTCTTTCTCTAAAAGGCAGCTTCCATACATGACGGCTTGGGTAGAAGGAAGGAGCTCCCTAAGCCATCCTGAGGTACCTGTAAGGCCCCAACCCAACTTTGAGAAACAGCAGAGAATCAATAGGTCAGTGCGCAGTTGTGCGGCAAGATCCTCTGTGCCCCTCAGACTACTCCATCCCACGTTTCCTAACCCGACGGTTTCCAGGTGACTAGTAGACCGCTATAGATGGGCCACCAATGGCTGGGCTGACGTCAAGGGGCTTCAGGCTTTTACATAGCATTTGCATTCAAATGAAGGGCCATTTCACTTTCACAGGAATTTGTTCACTCTGTCCCCCCTCTCCGCAAGCTCCCGGACCTTTCTGTCTCATCTTTCTTTATTCTGTCCATCTGGTGCCCATAGCACAAGTCTTACACTTTGGGAGGCAGGGGCTCCTTCAGGGGTTTCTGACCAGTTCCCTCCAAAGTGAGGTAGAGACGTGCAGAAGCAATGCAAAGTCCTGCTCTCTGGAATTTAGTCCTTACATAGCGGCCTTACATAGCGGCCTCCTCTCTTTCGCCGATATTTCCATGATCACCTAGTCTGCTTCCGCAGTCTCCCTTCTGCCCACATTTCCTGGAAGGGGTTTTCATCACGGCACTGGACCGTGATGCCTCCGAAAAAGGCTTTCCCTACTCTTGCCTACTCCCTCCCCCAGCAGGAGGGCTTTGTTTTCAATGGCGGAGATTCATTTCACAACTGTATATTGAGCGTCTACTGCGTGCCAGGAATTGTTGTAGACACTCGGGATACAGCAGTGAACAAGACAGAAATTCCTGCACTGTCTTCCTAAAGTTACATTCCAGAGGATGGCAGGCTGAATTACTGAATGTTTTACAAATATGCACAAATTAAAGAAAGACGAAGAGGGTAGGGGCTATGAAAAGGGAAGGAAAGAGAGGGAAGAACCATGTCGATAGTGGGCTCTTCCTTTTTCATGTCAGTCCACTAGTTTCAGGTGTCTTTCTGCTAGGTATGGCTTCTGTCTCAAAGCCAGTGCCTTCAAGGGGCCGGAACTCTTGCAATCTCAAATTCATGGCAGCTGCAGTAGACTTAAGAAGATTTTCTTTGTAAGTTCCAATTGCTGGGGGAAGAAACATGGGCTCGACAGTAGATGCCTATAAACTCAAAATCTTATCTCAAGAAACCAAGTCACCTCACCCCCAAGACCCACCACAATATTTACTCCAGGCTGCTCCCTACTCAGGGAACCTGTTCTTACACAAAATCCAACCCAACCTGGCGCCCCCACTTAGACAATCCCTCTCTGGTTTCGGGAAAGTCACTTGACCTCTCTGAGTTTCAGTTTTTTTCCCCTTTTAAAATAGAGATCCTAATAGTATCTACATTACAAGGCAGAATTTACTGCAAGAATGCTTACAAACTGTATAACTTAGTCCTTGGCACATGGTATGGTACCACTGTATCATTAACTCACTCAACAAATATTTAGTGCTAGGTGGTATTCTGTGTACGGAGACATCGGTAGTGAACAGATAAAGACTCTGACCTTATTAAGATTATGTTCTAGTGGGAAGAGACACTAATAAGTAATTAAATTTTATGGTATGTTAGATGGTAATGCCATGAAGAAAAAAAAAAAAGCAGGGAAGGAAGACAGGGAATGCTGGGGGGGGGCAGGGTTGCAGTTTTAAATGTGGTGGTCTAAGAGGACTTCACTGAGAAATGACATTTAAGTAAAATATGAAAGAGTTAATGGTATGAAGTATGAGGAGAGAAGATCCAGACAGAAAACAAGTGAAAAGAGAATGTTTGTCTTCTATTGGAGAAACAACGAGGAAGACAGTGTGGCTAACAAGTAGATGAAGTTCAAAAGCTAAGGGGAAGTAGGCCATTATAAAGATTCTAGTTTTTGCTCTAAGCGTGGTAGGGAGGCATTGTAGGGTTTAGAGCAGAGGAGTGACATGATTTGACTTATGTTTTGAATGGGTCACTCTGGTTGTTAGATTAAGAATAGACTGTAAACAGGAAAGTAGAATCAGGCAGATCAATTAAAAGACTATCGCAATAAACCAGGTGAATGACTGTGGGGGTGGAGAAAAATGGTTTGATTTTGTATACATTTCGAAGCCTGTTTCAGAGAAGAAAAACAGTTGGTCAGCAAAGACTAATTAAAGCTTGGTGCTGGGGAGAAGAGACTGAGGGGCAAGAAAGTAACATACCTATATGCACTGTTTACACATTGTCTCATTTATTCTTCACAACAGCCCTATAAATTAGTTATCATTCCCATTTTAGAGATGAAGAGGCTGAGGCTTAGAGAGGTAGCATGACTATTTTAACATGGTGTATGGTAAAGCTAAGTTCCAATTCTAGGCCACACGACTAAAAAGTACATGTTATTAAGTTGGTATCAAGCTAAAAAGTGCAACATCAGGGCTTAGGCCTGGTTCTTGATTTCTATTTTCTTTCTCTGCTCAGGCTCCCAGGCCTGCATTTAAGACTTCACAACAGACCCAATTACCCTTGCATTATTTTCTTTCACCTATTCTATCCTGAGGCAAACTACACTACCTGATATTTGAAAAAAAATTTCAGGATAGAAGCACATGGAGGACCTTTATTATTTTACAGATGAGGAAACCAAGGGCTTGAGGGAGGAAGGGGATTTTTAGGGAAGTGAATGACAGAACTGTAATACAAACTCAGGTCTATTTACTACCAGATGAACATCTTTTGACTAAAAAAGGTATGTTTGCATATGCAATTTCTTCTGCCTAGATTGTTTCTCTCCACAGTCTTCAAATTGTGGAGAGAAAAATATTGTTCAAATTTTCCCTATTCAAGGCTCAGCTCAAATGCCCCTTCCTTCCTAAAGACCTGTGTGGTGATACTCCTCTCAGAAAGCCCTCTTCCTCCTGTCTGAATCCCATTACCAACTCTCCTCCCCAAATGACTGACACTATTTTGTCTGCCTTAGAGTTATTTGAGGTCTTATCTGAATTTTCTGGGATTTGAGCACCCTGAAGGGGCATGAGGAAGCATGTTTGAGTACAGTGGAGTGGAGTGTCCTTGTACATGGTAGGGTCTTGGGAAATATTTATGTGCTGAATCAATAAATGACCTTGGAACTATAGGTAACAGGTAAAATGTCACTGGCATATTTTAGGAAATCCTTGAGTAATGTAACCTCTCCCCCATGTGTATCAGGAGGCCAGGACTATAGCACAAAACCATAACCAGTAAAGCAGCCTTCAGTATGTCTAAACCCAAGTGACCACCTTTTCCCTACAAACTAGCTTATTGTCTTCATTTTCTCATTTTTCAGAGTGCAGCACGTAGGCTTGAATTCTGGAATCGTTATCTTCTCTTTTTCACTTGTCATTCTTCAACCCTAAATGTCAATCAAATTCCAAGTCCTGAGAACTCTATTTTTGGACTATAGATAATATCTAGCCCTATCTTTCAAATCCTACTCTTATCACCCAGTGTTGGTGCTCATTACCTCTTCCTGGACTATTGCAGGAGCTTCTGATGTGGTCTCTTTACCTCTTCACTCCATTTACACCTAAATACTGCTATCATATTAATTTTTCTGTAGCATTTATGCCATTCTCCAGCTCAAAATCTTTAAATGTTTCTCCATTTCTAATCAAATCAAGGTTAAACTTAACCCGGCATTCACAGTCTTCCTCAATCTGGCCTCAACCCACTTTTCTATTGCTAACTCACATTGACACTTGCTATTCAATTGCTTCAACTTAGCAAAATCTCGTCTACATCTTTGCTTGTTAAAAATATTACTCATTCCTTAAGGCCTAGCTCAAATGTTATTTTTCCACAAAGCCTTTTGCTAATTACTCATGCAAAAGTGATTTCTCCCATCTCAGAACTCCTATAGCACTTGAATCACATACTGCCTTAAATTGGGATTATTTTTGGACATGTATTATCTTCTCTGGCATGGTACCCTGCATATAATGGGCTCTCAATTATCTGACTAATAATTAAATGAATCACAGTATTATGAAACTGTACAGGGTCTTTAAAGTTCAAAGGCTCCACCTCTTACCACACTTGGATAAATTTTCTCTACACTGGTGATCATGCAACAAATAGTTATTGACTACTTCCTATCTGCTAGGCACTTTAACAAGAGCTGGAGGTATAGTACTAAAACAAAAGGAGGTATATCCCCTCATCTCATAAAACTTATGATCTTGGAGGTGGTGGTATATAGACAATAAAAAATTAAACTCAAAGATCATTATAAATTATGGAAAGTACTATGTATAAAAAAAGGAACAGGGTGCTCCAATATAGAATAACTAGTTGGGGTGGAGATAGCTATTTAAGATAGAGTGGGTAGAGAAATCCTCTCTAAGGAGGCAAAATCAAAAGGATGAGAAGGAGTCAGTCATGTAAAGATCTAGGGGAAGAGCGTTCTGTGCAGAGGAAACAGTACGCCTGAAAATATGGAGATATGAAAAGAGCTTGTTTTGTTTGGGCAAGGTTGACATATAATGAGTAAGGGAGAGAGTAGTACAAGATGCAGTTGGAAAGACAGGAAATGATTACTTCTTATAGGGCTTCATAGCCTCTGGTAATGAATTTGAATTTTGTTCCAAGTGTGACAAAAAGTCATTGGGAGGTTTTGAGCAGGAAGTAATGTGATCTGATTTATATTTTAAGAAATTCATACTGGTGGCCATGTGGAGAATGGAATGGAGGAGCAAAAGTGAAAGCAAGAAGACATTCTCACTAAATTGTTACACAGCCTCTTTTCAGCTTCAGTCACTGAAAATTCACCACCTTTGGATAGTCTCTTCCATTTTCCAATAGCTGTGAGGGTTTAACTGCCATTCTAGTTTGAATGAGTTTTTCCACATTCTTTCATGATGACTTTATTATTTTTACTATTTTAACTCTCAATGTACATTGTGGTTGATTTTCATGACCCTTTACCCGTTCCTCCCGCCCGCCCCACTATATCATATCTGTTCACTTGCATGATGACTTTATTTTGATGT